GGTGTTCGGCCAATCACAATGCACTGGGTCAGCTGGCCAATCAGAGCAGACTGCGCTTGTCGGAAGGAGGGACTTTGTAGAAAACGAAGCGTTTGAGAGAGGTGGGGCATAGAGGACCTACAATAATGTACAGTATTTTAAAAATAATGTGATTTTTGAACATTAAAGCATGTCAACATATTCTGTTACACCAAATACACAAAATAATAATCTTTAAAAAACCATCATATGACCCCTTTAATTGAATAGCTCATATTACTAAACTTAAAAATAACAGATTCTGTTACAAAAGATTTCATTACCTTGTAGTCATAGCCAGCACTGAAGAGAATCCCACTAGTGGTTGGGTGCCACTCTATGAGCCCCACACGCCTGCTGTGGCCATACAGTTCTAATACAGACTCTGTCAAATTCCTTCTCAGTCCACTATCAGGAACCTCCCATATTCGCACCTGGCACGTTCACATACACACACAAATATCACTTTTGAATCAATAGCATCATTAAAATATGAAGTCAGTTTTAAACTCTGACGACAGGTTATTACTCTATAACTTCATAAATGGTTCAATTTCTCTCAAATGACAAATACAATATATGTGACCCTGGATCACAAAACCAGTCATAAGTAGCACGGTATATTTGTAGCAATAGCCAACAATACATTGTATGGGTCAAAATTATCGATTTTTCTTTTATGGCAAAAATCATTAGGATATTAAGTAAAGATCTAGTTCCATGAATATATTTTGTAAATTTCCTATACTGTAAATATATCAAAACTTAATTTTTGACTAGTAATATGCATTGCTAAGGACTTCATTTGGACAACTTTAAAGGCGATTTTCTCAATATTTTGATTTTTTTGCACCCTCAGTCTCCAGATTTTCAAATAGTTGTATCTTGACCAAATATTGTCCTATCCTAACAAACCATACATCAATGGAAAGCTTATTTATTCAGCTTTCATATGATGTATAAGTCTCAGTTTCGCAAAATTGACCCTTATGACTGGTTTTGTGGTCACATATAACATACTGAAGCATAACAGCGATCAAGTATTCCTGAGAGCCATCTAATCATCATCATGTTTTCACCTGCTCTATCCCTATTGTGATTTTGAGCAAGACATTTTGGGCATCATTTTGAGTGTGTGTGTTTAAATTAATGTCAATTTTTTCTTTATTCATTTCATTTTTTATGTTATTTTATTTAATATGTTAGTTATTTAATATGATTTATGTCAAACAAAAGTACACACATGAAAATGACATTTAAATGTTTATGCCGCTTCTTATACATGTAAATCCCTGTGGTGTACTGGTTTAGGTTTAATAAATAAATAAAGGTTCTATTTAAGTGATATTTGTGACATGTAAATGCTGTAAATGTAAAAGTAAATGCCGGTTTTCCATTTCTGACAACAAAAACAGTTGAAACAGGTTATCATTGCACATAAAGATTTCCACTGTTTATTTAAATGACGCTGACTAATTTGAGTATATTGTGGTGATTTTGCACTTTAAGTTTACTCACAGAAGAGTCCTCTGAACAAGAAGCGATTATGTTGTCATGGAAAGGATTCCATTTGATGTCCAGCACTTTGCCTTGGTGACCGCAGACCTTTGGATAGTGAGGGTCGATACGGCCAAACTGCAGGAGGGAAGTACAGGTTACTGATCTGATGTTTTCCCCCCCAAATATAACTAAGAATACAAACAAAAGAATGTATGGACAAACATAAGAAGATTAATATATATATATATATGGATAGTTGAAAACATTCACATTTTTATGAGCTGTCTTATATATGTTCATACAATTTACCAATATCACACCTGCACAAATACAGCTCCACTGTAATACACACAAACATCCACTGTGTGGCGCTACATAACTACAGTCATACAGTGAGTAGTAGACGGAACATTAGTCATGATGTCATGAATGTTTGATGTCACTTTAGTCCATTGACCTCCTTCTGAGGTCCTGTGGGATTTGTAGTTCAGGTCATGCATGAGTGCACCCTGAGTGGGCTGCTTATGAAAGACTCTTCATCTATAGGTCAGGCCTTCAGCACAATGCAGAGAGATAGTACTGTTGGCGCTCTAATATCAGAGAAGTTCAATCTTAGTCAAGAGAGATGAAAAACCAAAAGCAGCTTGATATTGAATAGTATGTTGCTTGTTGGAGGCATACATTATAGCAATGAACTCCTGGCTGTCACATTTTCTTTGTTCCCATGTCTGTGCTCTTCTCCTAGATTAGCATGATGGAAATCATGTCTGTGATTTGCTCTGTTAGATTATTGCATTACATTAGCACTGCAATTGCTCGAGGGGTGTTCATTTAATAGAATTTGTCCTTGATTTCCCACAGGAGATCAAAACTCAAAAAAGAACACAGAAAATATGACCAATTATAAAATGTCAAAGCTTTTACTTCTGTGGCCAAAGCACTCAGTTACACTGGTTCAAATATTTGCATATATGTAAGGATTGCTGGGTTTGTCAAGGTGTTTTCAAGACTATATATAACTGTTAGACTGATCCTGTGCTTATTGGTATAAACAATTCAAATCAAAAAGCAAATTTATTATTAGAACCTATTAGAACCAAAACATCTTGTACAAACGGCATTGTTAAAAGCAACGCAAAAATTAAATAAATAATAATAAAAAAAATGTAATAAAGCAATAATAATATTAATAAATGAATAAGTAAATGAAATAAAAATAAAATATAAAAATAAAAAATAAAAAAAATAAAGAGACTTTAAAGTATGACTTTACTAAAACTATTAACATTATTAGTTGCTAAATAATAACTAAACTAAAGGTATAATATGACAGTTTTAATGATCTTTTAATTGCATTTGCCAATATTTTGGTAAAACATCATGACAACTAATGTACAACCGTGATTATGATTTTCTCTGAGGGACATTTTCATATATGCACAGGACAAAGTGTTGAAAGGAGGTGCTTTTGCTTTTTACGCCTAGCTTTCTCTTTGTTTCTCAGTTTCCTCTCTCTAATCACTTCATTTTGTATTCTTGTTTATTGTTATTCTTTGTGCAAAATAGTTACGGATTTGTGTGTAGGAGTGTGTTGGCAGCGGATGGTTGTTGACACAGATGTGCTGGCTGCAGATCAGGCTGAGTAGTCGCTGTCTGAGATCTTACAGTCAGAGACAAAAGGAGATAATATATTTAGACACACCCTCTATTGTGAGCAGCACAATGATGCGTGAGGAACAGCCATGTGATTACACTAATTATGATGTCAGTGGATGTGCCTACAGTCTAGAGTCTAGACTGCCATGACTCTGATAGCACATTCTTGTAAAAAATACGGTGTTTTCTTAGAGGACAAATTTAACTTCCTTAGTAGAGACGTTCTATGGCTTAGCCACTGCTGAGCCACACTTCAATTAATGCCACATGAATATCTACATCTATATATTAAGTCAATATAACATTATTATGGGACAGTCCATAGAGTATGCTATATCAGTGTCTATTGTATACAGGTTATAGAAGTTCAGGTTCGATTATGATGCTATTATGTTTATGAGTCCTCACACTAAACACATTTCTGAATGCACATTTTGGGGCTAGAGGTTATCATTTTACTTTCTAAATAACTGCTAAACACAATAGCGAATGAGTGATAACTCACTGGACCTGTACTAGAGCTTAAGAGGCAGAAACAACATTTTTTCTAAATGTTAAATGCTGCAAATATTGTTTCCTCTCGTGTAACAGTATAAAAAAAAGATTTACTTTATTAAATTTTTATCACAGTGAAACATAAGATAGTTTGCATGCACATTCTGCATATGCAAAATGATAGCATATTGCAAAATGGTAATTTTTTGCTAATTAAAACGATAGTTCACCCAAAAATGAAAAATTCTTTAATTATTATTCATTAATTACTCACCCCTATGTCGTTCCAAGCCTGTAAGACTGTTCATCTTCGGAACACAAATTAAGATATTTTTGATGAAATCTGAGAGCTTTCTGACCCTGCATAAACAGCAACACAATTCAGGCCCAAGAAATTTAGTTAATTCAAGGCCCAGAAATTTAATAAGGACATCTTTAAAATAGTCCATGTGACATCAGTGGTTCAACCTTAATGGTATGAAGCTACGAGAATACTTTTTGCGTGCAAAGAAAACAAAAATAACAACTTTATTCAAGTTCTTCTCTTCCAGTCTTTTCACATTCACGCATGCGTGTGGTGCTGCAGACGCAGGAGCCGGCGTTCTGACGTAGAACGCCTTGTTTGCAAGTGGAGGAATGCACATGCATGTGTCGTGGTACTTTCGTGAACGCATGGCGAAGACTGACAAGGAAGAGAAGAAATTGTTGCATAAAGTTATTTTTGTTTTCTTTGTACACAAAGAGTATTCTCGTTGCTTCATACAATTACGGTTGAACCATGTCACATGGACTATTTTAACGATGTCCTTACTACTTTTCTGGTCCTTGAATGTGTCAGTTGCATTGCTGTCTATGCAGGGTCAGAAAGCTCTCAGATTTCCTCAAAAATATCTTAATTTGTGTTCTGAAGATGAACAAAGGTCTTACGGGTTTGGAACGACATGTGGGTGAGTAATTAATTACAGAATTTTCATTTTTGGGTGAACCACCTCTTAATAAATTATTTGCTACAAACTGATGATTGGCAGAGCCTAACAAATACTTATTATTTTGTTGTAGATATTCAGAGACAGCAGGAATGTGGAGTTTTACACTACCACATCATCAGAACATGGCTGGCTCTTCTAAATCCTGTTCAAAATGATCCTGCATTCTTCTAAGCCCAACATTTTCCATGGTTTTGGAACAGAATTCTAAACAAAGGGCATTTCAGTTTTCTGAGCTTACTGTATGCTAACTGGGGCATTATAAAATGGGTGTGGGTCTAGTAAAAAGCACTTTTGGGCATGTTAAAGTAGTCTGAACTGGTTGGCAGTTTCCTATCAGTGTTGCCAGATGGCCCAACTCCCTTTTATATATGCGTGCGTATGTGTGTAACTGTACGCCTGACTGCTTGAGCCTGCATTATTTTAAGAATTCTGATATCATCCCAAACCATTACAGCACCACCTCACACATTATCATTCACAGACGTTTCTGTCAACAGCCGCTGAGCAGGTCAAGGAAAGGAACGGTTTCATTTCCAAATGGTTAAACAGTTAATAATGACATCATTGCGAATACCACAGTCTTCTATTCATGTTCTTTCCCTGGGCCATCTCATCATGGTTTCTGAATGCAGTTTCCATTCCACAACTGAAGCTCCTTTGTCATATGAGGAATTCCATTTGAAAAGCCAATGTTCTGCCACTATATTGCTCCCATGTGTCTGGATTTTACTATGAGAATTGCTTATTCTTAATCAGACAGTTGTCCCTGTAATATAGACTAATGTCTTGGATTGAATAAACACATTAGAGAGATTTAATAAGCTACATACACACATTACAGCAAACACAAAATTGCATTAAACTGCCAAACTTCACATATTTAACTACAAAAATTGGCTATAAAAAGCTAAAAAAGTTTATATATTGGTTACAGTATATAATGCAACTAAGGCTGAACTATTGTCAGTTTTTAAATAGCTTCACAGTGATTTCTATGATCTCTATGGCAGATTTCAGTGATGTGACCGAGAATTTCTCAGTATTACAGTAAGTATGCAAACTTCACAGGGAGCTGTCAGTGCTTGACAGAGAAAGACAGAGACACAAGCGAGAAGGAGGATGAAGAAGCTGGGAAAAAACAGCCCCACGTGGTGTCCAAAGAAACACATATGCAGAAGTCAGAGCGACTGAGCTCTTTTCCAAGGCCTGGGAGCCCAGTTGGAGTCACAAACACTGTGGAATGAGCACATTAAGGGCACAAAGCTGGCCTTCTTCATCACACATTAACTGGGCGACTCTGAATGTTCATCACAAAAGTGCTATTGATAGTTTATCCAAGTTGGCTGAGACCATGACCGAGGGTCTGCAGGCCCAATGGGCAGTGTAGCATGACCGGATGCGCTCAAGAGGAGGGACAGAAGAATAGACAGAATAAAGAGCGGAGATGACTGAAGAAAAGAATGGGACATCAGAGGCTGTGCGCCAAAATCTTATTGTCATGTCAATGATAAACGGTGTGTGAGTCTTTTTTTTCTGTCTGTGCTTTTCGTGCAGTCTGGCCAATTGCTGTGGAGGTGGAATTTGGAGTCACATTTAAATTCACTAACTTTGCATTTTGCATCTTTAGGAGTCAGTAACATTGTTACAAAAAGGGATAGCTCACTGAAAGATTGTTATCATGAATTTATTTTTTCTGTGGAACATAAAAAGAAGACATTTTGAGAAATGTCTCATTGTTTTTATTTTATTTTTATTTTTTGCCATACAATATAAGTCAATGGTGACTGTTTGGTTACCAACATTCTTCAAAATATCTTTTTTTTTTTTTTTTTTTTGCAGAAGAAAGAAAGTCGTAGAGGTTTGAAACAACACGAGGGTGTGAGGGTGAGTAAATCATGACAGAATATTCAAACTATCACTTTAACCTGCAGAACCCCGGTCTTCTATCTTTCCTTATGAAGCTGACATATAAAGCTGTTCCAGCCAGAGCACATTGATGTCCACATCGATTAGTTCACACTACTGTTATATCAGTGTCAGTGACCAGGTGTTTACAGCTTCCAGTGCTTGTCCATTTTACAGCATTAAAGCCAGAGATCAAAGGAAAAGTATCTGCTCTCTGCTCACTAGTCAGGTTTTTGCTCGGCCTATAAAAAGGGTAACAGAAAGATTCAATTTAGAGCCACTGGGTGAGGGACTTCATGGTTTAGACTCAGAGGGTGATGGAGACAGCAACTTGCTCTTAAAAGATGCAAAAACAAACGTTTGTGTTTCTCACAATTATCAACTATACAATTGTCAACAGGGCAATAGTAATAACACAACATTTTGCTCATTAATTTGACTTTATTGTGCTCTCTGGATGTAATCGTGTTGAAAGAGAACTTTTCATTGTGGGTGATCATGAAATGACTGTGTATTGGTGCAAAGGGAATCTAAACCTTGCAAAGAAAATGCATATTACTCTAAACCAGAGCCAACTAGTGTTCAACAGAAAAAGAGTGTGAGAGACAGAGGCCTGTGGGTTTGTGTGCACCACATGTGCATTTATAAGAACAGGGTGAGGGATGACTCATCTATGTTTTTCCACTGTTCAGTAACCACTGCTCATGTTCTCTCTACCAATTAATGTAAATGTGAATTTGTGCAAAGCATCCATTAGCACTCCTCCGTATTGCTTTGTTTTATACAGGTTTTATGCATATTTGTAGTCAAATTAATAGAAATGCTTGTGTGTTTGGTCTTCCAATTAAAGGGGTCATATGATGTTGCTAAAAAGAACATTATTTTGTGTATTTGGTGTAATGAAATGTGTTTATGCGGTTTAAGGTAAAAAAACCACATTATTTTCCACATACTGTACATTATTGTTTCTCCTCTATGCCCCGCCTTTCTGAAACGCGTCGATTTTTACAAAGCTCATCGGTTGTAACGTCGACCAGAGTGTTTTAGAATTTGCCCAGATGTCAGGAATAAAAGAAGGAAAAGAATACTCATAGACGAGAGAGTTGGTGATCCCATACGTCTTTATACGTAGCTTCAAATGATCCTCGGTGTGTGTGTGTGCGCACGTGTTGTAACGTCGACCAGAGTGTTTTAGGATTTGCCCAGATGTCAGGAATAAAAGAAGGAAAATAATGCTCATAGACGAGAGAGTTGGTGATCCCATACGTCTTTATACGTAGCTTCAAATGATCCTCGCACTCTCCGCATACATGGAGGAGAGTGGGGGAGAAAATGATAAGACACACTTTGGCCGAATTACAAATAAAAATAATAAAAGAATCAGGATGCTTTCTGGAGCAGAGTATATAGAAACGTCCGCTATATCACCAGCACAAACGTTACCCAGGCACACCCACCTAGACAACGCATGACATCACAGGAGGTGCCTTAAAGGTACATAACAAATTAGGTGGCCGTTACA